GCTCACCTGCCCCAGCTCCTCCTCCCCATCTTCCTGGTCACTGCTCTCTCTCGGGTCCTCGGCAGTGGCCCTGGCTTCTGCAGGCCTCACTTGGGATAGGATACTCACAGCCTCTTTGCCCTTGATCTCTCTGCGGCAGAAGGGACAGGTCTGGCTGTCGGAGTGCTGGGGGTGGGACGGGATAGGGTCAGGGTCGCCCTGTTCTCCACCATGTCCCTTGGGACCACAAGGGCCCGCCTCCCCAACAGAGTGATGTGCTGAGGACAGATGGGGGGAAACAGAGGGAGAGGGAGAGGAGCTGTGAAGAGAGGAGCTGGGGGAGATGCAGGATGGCAAGGGGATGGGAGCAGAGCGCGAGGTCGGGGGCGGGGCGCACAAGCAGGATGCCCAGCGGAGCCAGGGTGTTGTGGGGGGCTCAGCCGTCCGCAGTGATGCTGCCCCCTAGGAATGCCCGAGGCACCTGCCGGGGCCCATACGGATTGTGGTGAGCCCTGCAGGCATCTGCCTCACAAGCGCCACTGGGGCCAATGTTGTGGCTCCACCAGCTCCTGGGCTTCTTATGATCCCAGGACACACCTCAGCAACAACCCCCAGAGCTCCGAAGAACCAGACTAATTACTCACAGGTCCTGGGGGGTATGCGGCATGCCTGGGGCCCCACGGTGAGGTCCCAGGTGGAGAGAGAGGGAAGTTGCATGCACCCAGGGCTCTGCCTTTATTAGGGGCCAAGTGGGGTGTCTAGGGATTCATGGGTTCACCCTTTATTGGCCAGTTTGAGGCATTAGGACGTGGGAAGGGAAAAGCAGGGTCTTAAGGGGTCAGCTATCCGACAGGTTACCCCGGGCTTTCTAAAGCTTCATGAGTGGGGTGGCCTGGTTCCTTATCGGGTCGTTTTGCTAGCAGCCTGTGTCCTACAGTGACAATATGTGTATTCAAGATGAATGTCCTTGGAACGCATGCCTCAGCCATCAAGCTTGTCAAACACCTCCATTACCATCAAGAAGCTTAATGTCTTAATGTACCTATACTACGCAGGGGCAAGAGCCCCGGGTTTCCCAGGGGCCTTTGGAGAGGGCTTTGTGGGCTTGGATCCTCACTACGGCCCTTGGGAGATTGCTACTATCAGCTGCGTTCTCCAGGGGAGGAGGCTAAGGCTCAGAGAGGTGAAGCCACTGGCCGCAGGTTGCCCAGCCAGGAACAAGGAACAAGGAGCCCTTTCTACTAATAAGAACGCAGCTGGAGAAGCAGGAGCAGAGGTGAGAGACGCAGAGCAAGACAGAGACGGAGGCTAAGACACAGAGCGGTGGGCTCCCGCTCATCATTCCTGAGTGACCCTGGGCCTCAGTTTCCCCATCAGATCCACGAGGCATGCAGGCGATCCTCTAGGAGGGGCTTTTACCATAAAGTGGGGGGAGCCTGGGCAGGAAGGCAGGGTGGTCAGACGCATGGGGGAGACTGGGCAGGAAGGCAGCGTGGTCAGACCCACCTGCCAGGTGGCCAGGCAGCGGCTACAGAGCAGGTGCCCACAGGGCTCGATCTTCACGTCCTTGTTGCTCTCAGCACAGATTTTGCAGAGCTCGAACGTGGAGTCCATGGCCCAGTATAGCCGCAGCTGCTCCTAGCACGCAAGAAGATAGGGAGAGTGGGAAGGGGGGTGTCAGCCATAGGGATATAAGTCAGGCCACAGGAAGAAAGTCTTAAACTTCTATGCCAGCCCCGAACCCTCCTAAGTTCGAGTCCGTGTGTCCAGCAGCCTCCTGCATGTACCTTATTAGGAGACTCGGTCTCCGGGGTGGTCTATACTCAGGGTTGCCAGATTTAGCAACTAGAAATACAGGATGCCCTGTTAAATTTGATTTTTGGGTAAACAATGCGTAACTTTTTAGGTCTAAGTATATCCCAAATACTGTGTGGGATGTACTTATACCAAAAGGTTTCATTTGTTCTTCCTCTCTCACCCATGGGGTGGCTGTGAAGACCAGGAGCTGGTACAGGGGCTGTCATCGGTGAAAGCTCAAGTGCACCAGCCATTCTGATCATCTCAGCAGTATCATTTCCTGGTTTAGTCCCCGCAAAAACCCCTGGGGAGGAGGCAGGAGGCGCTGTATTTTCCGTAGAAGGAACAGAGGCAGAGAGAGGCCAAGTGATTTAACCCAGATCACATGGCCACCACAGCAGCACAAAAACCCAAGGCCTCTGGGATTCTGGGGCCTGGCTGTGTGGGGGAGAATTCTGAGTTGAGGCACGGTGTGGGGGGTGGGGCAGGAAGCAGGGATGGGGCGGTAGGGGGCACAGGCTGGGAGCTCACCTCTGACACATGGATGTACGGATGGGGTTCCGTCTGGTAGAGTTCAGTCAGGTCTGGGTTGTGGTTCTTCCCATCTGGGTAGAGGAAGCTGGGTGAAGGGAAGAGAGGGGGTCCTGAGGGCCATCTAAGACTCCCCACCCCAGAAGAGCAAGGACTCCCCGGACTCTACCATGGGCCGAGGGCCCCTGGATGAGCACCTCTCCCAAACCCATCATTGGCCTGGGGATCTTTGGCCTTCCCTCTCCTCATACTGGGACTTCCCAGGGCAAGCGGTGTCCCCTCAGATGCCAGGGCAGGGCCATGTCCCCTCAGACCCTCCCCCCCAAAAAAGGGCACCTTAGACCTAAGTGTCCCAAGCTCTGGAAATACAAATCAGATCAACAGGAACCAGGAAACTGACTGAATCCCAGCGTTAGCTCTCCCAGAGCACCCCCGTTCTTGAGTGTTCAGGCCCAGGTATAGGAGCATCTTAGGTCACACGTTGCTGGAGTGACCAAATCCTAGTCTTAGTCTAGCAGAATCAGAAGGACCCTTCTAGACCATATACACTGCTCGCTTCACACATAGTTACTGAGGTTCAGTGCAGGAAAGGTTAACAGCTCAAGGCCACACAGAGGGGCTTGGAGGGATGCAGGACCAGGGCTGTGGGCAAGGTCTGAGCGCCGGGCTCCAGGACAGCCGAGAAAAAGGCTCTGCACCCTCTGGGTCGCAACTGCACTCTACAGTGGGGCCACGAGTCCCCTGAGCCTCGTGGGTCTGCCCAGCCAACCAGGTAGAGCAGGGCAGGTGCCCCAGGCTGGGCCCCAATGCAGCTCTTCCAGAGACACACTGTGTGCCCTGGGCTGGGCATCTCTACCTCCCTGCACTCAGTTTTCCCTTCTGTAAAATGGACATAATCATGCTGGGGGCAAAGATTGGTGGCGTCCACAAAACATGTGCAGTATCCTTCCTCCACCACAGACGGAACTGCTATGGTCAACTTCAGACCCTGCAAGCCGCCTCACTGTATGGTAGAAAGTGCTTGGAGTCTCTGCACCTCTCTCAGGGCCTTGATATTCCCATCTCTCTAGTGGGTGGTGGGGTCTGTGTGCTTCGTGGGGGGAGGGGGGTTAAACCAGATTGATGGTGTTCATACTTATTTTATATCTAGAATCCTTTTCTCCAATGAAGTCTGACCTGGAACTTAAGACACGGCAGTGGGCGAGGGTCTGTATTCTGAGCCTGGCTTCACATCCCAGACCGTGAGCCCAGTGGCTGTGTGACCCAGGCAAGTGGCTCTGTCTCGCTGTGCCTCAGTTTTTCTCGGTTGTCAAGTAGGGATATGCTAGTATAACCAATAGAGCTTCATTATTCTTGGATTCCGTACTTGCAAATGTGTCTACCTGCTAACATTTGTCACCCCCAAATCAACAGTCATGGTACTTTTGTGGTCATTCATCGACTGCACAACATGGCAAAATATTTGAGTCACCTGACACGTTTCCGTGAGGTTGGAGAAGGCGACGCTCTACCTTTTCATTTCAGTTCCTTACTCTATAAACCAGTATCCTTATCAGTGCATTTGGTGCCATGTTTTTTGCATTTTTATGCTTTTTGTTGGTGATTTCGCCATTTTAAATGGCCCCAAGATAGTGTCCAGGGTTCCCAAATACAGGGCTGGGATGCGTCTTATAGAGAATATACGGGTGTTAGATGAGCTTCGTTTTGACTTGACTTCACTGTAAAAGAACTGACTACATATTAAATAAGGTATCTTTAGGCAGAAACACACATAAAGGTTATTATTGGTTACCAAAAAGGTAGCAATTGGTTAAGAAAAATGTGACCAGATGGGATGCCTGGCCGGTGCAGCCGGGAGAGCATGTGACTCTGGATCTCGGGGTCGTGAGTTCAAGCCCCATGTTGGGTGTGGACCTTACTTAAAATTAAAAAAAAAAAAATGGGACCAGAGTCTTGCAGGAATCTAAACCCGTATTTGCCCCACGAGCAATGGCTCAGTATTCGATAATTCAGTGTTTGCGGCGACTTTGATAGAACAAAACTACCATTAGCAACAAAAGAGAACTGACTGCATATCTGTCTCCTATCATATCACTTAGGTATGCCTGGTAAGAAAGGTCTGGCTAAAGGTTCAGGGAGAGACTCAGGAACCCCACCCGCCTTTTTCCGCTCCTCTCCTACCCAAGGCAGCTTCTGAAAGAGGGGCTGGGGGGCAGCCAAGGTTAGAGGTTGAAAACACCTGTCCAGCTGTTTGCCCAGTTCTTTCTGCTTTAACAGTCTAGATTCTAGAACAGGATATGGATATCTAGAAGCAAAAGCTTTTCAGCAGAATTCCCAGGAATGGAGCCGGTGGAGTCGCCCCCCCCCCTCCCAGCCACTTGCTAGCCCACACGGCAGCTTTCTGTGAACTAGAAAAGGCGCCCTTGGGGGTGCCTGGGTGGCTCAGTCTGTTGGGCTTCCGACTCTTGATTTCAGCTCAGGTCATGATCTCAGGGTTGGGCTCACGCTCAGTGCAGAGCCTGCTTGAAATTCTCTCTCTCCCTCTGCCCCTCCCCCTGCTTGCAAGCACGCTTGCTCGCTCTCTCTCTGTTTCTAAAATAAATAAAATCTTTAAAAAAAAAAAAAAAGAAGAAAAGGCTCTCCTTCCTCAAGACCCTCATCTGCCACCTACTGGAACAAGATAGTATTGCAAATGTATAATGTCTGCCTTGTGAACTGGGTGCCCTTAGAGTGATCTTGGGCAGTGCTCAACACACGCACCACCTTTCGAAGCGCATTCTCCTGACACCCTCCCCCTGCCAGGATGGCGACTCACAAGCCTTCCTTTTGTCCATCCAGGAGTGCTTGGAACAGGGGTTTGTTAAGAGGGATGGTCTGCAGGATGCTGCCATCTGAGCTCACGTATCCAATGGCCCATTGACCCAGGCGAGTGCAGCTGGGCCGGAAGATGTAGCTGGAGGAAGAGGTTGGTAGGGTGGGGTGAGGGACTAGTCACCGCTGTCCCATCTGGGACTTCCCAGGTGCCCATTCTGTTGGGGAGCCAGGCGTCTAAGTCCTTGTTCTTTATAACCCAGCTTCCCACTTTTTAGGCAGTGAGCATTAAGATTCCTGTCTCCCACTGTAGGGGATAGCCATTGGTTTACCTGCTTGGCTCTTCATCCTCCTTCACTGGGGCTTAGACAAGGCTGATTCTAGCTTGGTCAATCAGTGCCTTTTAGGACCCCTGACCATAGTGATGGAGGTCAGCCCTGAGATTTTTTCTACAAGTATCAGGAGCAAGGTACCCCATTTCTACAGAGGTTGCTAAGCTGGTAGGGTGTACAGCTGGGGCTTCTAGAAACCTTGTGCCACCATAAGGAGAGACCATGTGTGAGAATGAAACAAACACAGAGAAAAGTAGACACAGGGAAGACACTGATTCCTGACAATAGCACTTGAGCACCTAGATCCAGCTGGGCCTGAAACCCCATACCTGGTCTTTTCAAACATGAGAATTAATCCACCCCTTTTGCTTTCCCTTTAAACCAGTCTGAAGTGTAACGGGGGAGTGCTAACATACTTGCCGTCCTGAGGTTCTTGTATGTCAGCCCTACAAAGACTCATGAATGTGACCTCCTATTCCCTTAACCTCCTGGTATTCTAGGTAGCTCAGCACCCTCGATCCTTAGCCCTCTGGGAGGACCCAATGGCTCAAATTTCCCAGCTTGAAATCATTTAAGGACTCAGGTGTTTGGATCCCAGTCTCCTACCCCAGCAGGTGTGTGTGTGTGGGGGGGGAGTCATATTAAAAAAATATTTAATAGATGGTACAATATGAGCTCTGACTCAACAGAAATGGATCTTATCCTAGGACAGGGTCTTCAGGCCCCTGGCCAGACCAGGTATTGTTCCTTTAGCTGCCAGATTGTGAGAAAGTGCATTATAAGAGAGTGTCAGCAGAAAGCACTTCGAAAGCTGGTGCATGTTGAGCACTGCCCAAGATCATCGGGCTTCCTGGGAGGTCCCAGGAGATGAGGCAGGGTGGCTGGAGGCACTCAGCATCCTACTTTTCAGTTCTTGGCAGTCTGGGGTCCCAGGTACTTCAGCCCTTCCGTTCTTACTCCCCAAAGGCTGGCTGGGCTCCCCCAACACCCTAGCCCAGGATCCAGACCCTGGAGCCCCCAGCAGCCTCCCCCTCCTGAGGCCTGGCCCTTTTACCTGCCTGGCTTGTCTCTGTAGGTCTGCAGACGTGCTTGGACCTCATCATACGTGAGGAAGGCCATGTAGCCCGGGTGGTTGACCGCCAGGAGCTGCCAGTTCTTGAGGAGTGTTGGCCACGGCTGGAGCGGGGCAGCACTTGGGTCAGGGAGGGGTTGAGGAAGCCGCCCACACCTCGTGCCTCCCAGGGTGTCAGCACCCAGCCACTGGGCTTACACCCGGGGTGGGCCTTGGAATCTGTTATACAGGAGACCCCAGATCTTCCCTTTCCCGGGAACCACGGGTCCGGGATCCCAGCCCCTCTTCCCTCAGACCCAGGAGGCCGTGTTCCCAACCTCTCCTTCCCAGGACCCAAGACTCCAGGCTTCCAGCCTTGGCCGTCGCTAACCTGGAAGAGCCTGGTAAAAAGATCAAACTCGAAGATGGACACATGGCCGCTGCAGGTGAGGTTAACGGTGGAGCGCAAGGCCAGGGCCGTGCAGCCAGATTCCACTGGGTGGCAGGTGCACAAGAGCCACTCAAAGTCAGCCCAGGGCAGCACACACCTGGAATGAGGGGGGGTGGTATGCAGCGGAGGAACCTAGGATGGGAAGACCTCTAGGAAGGAGGCAGCTGGGGGCGAGGACTCCTGGGTCTGAGGGAGGAGGGGGCTGGGGGTCTGGACCCCTGGGTCTGAGGGAGGAGGGGCTGGGGGCCTGGACCCCTGGGTCTGAGGGAGGAGGGGGCTGGGGGTCTGGGCTCCTGGGTCTGAGGGAGGAGGTGGCTGGGGAGCCTGGACTCCCGGGTTTGAGGGAGGAGGTGGCTGGGGTGAGGGCTCCTAGGTCTGAGGGAGGAGGGGGCTGGGGGCAGGACTCCTGGGTTCCCTGGGCAGGGACAGAATGAGGCTCCAGGAGCTAAGGGGCCCCGGGGACAGGTGCTCACTCACCGGGCTCCGCAGTGCTCCCTCCAGAAGGTGTGGGCCGGGGCCTTGGTGAGCTGGTATGTGTGTCCGCAGTACTTTCCCTTGGGGAAGAGGGCGCCCAGCTCCGCGTGCATGTAACTGAAGATGAGGGCCAGCTTGGCCAGCTGTCGCCTGCGGGGATGGGCTCTGAGGGCCTGGGCTGGACCCCAGGGCTCCCACTGACACCTGCTCCCGCTGTGGGGAAGACCCACAGGCACCAGGCCCCCAGACTCTGTAACCATTCAGTGCAGGGTAAAAGTCGAATCCAAGACGGCCTATGGCAGTCCCGACACCTCCCCTCTGCAAATCTCAGTTTCCTTATCTGTGAAGGAAAGGGAGGCGCTCCCCAATATCCGAGTGACCCCCCGGCACACAGACCCCAGCCTCCACCTGTAGCCCACAGGGGCGGGAGGAGAAGCCCTGCTTTGTCAGAGGTGGAGCCCACGAGAGCCGAGGGCATTGGGAGGGGTCTGTGAGCCCGTCATGCTCGGAACCTTCCTGGTTTTAGCAGCCCTGGGGGGCGGACCCCTGTGCTTTTCCCCGCCAGCTGCCTCCCTGGGGTACGGGTCAGGATGTGGGGAGCAGCAGAGGGTAGCTCTGACACTTAGCTGCGGCATTTGGGGGAGGTTCCTTTTCTCCCCCTTACATCAGTTTCCTCAGCTGTGAAATGGGCGTAAGTGCAGGGCTGAGTACAGCCCCTGTGTCAGAGGGCAAGCGGTGAGGATTCTTCCGTGTCTTCTGAGCGCAGAAAATGCCCAGCGTACCTGGCGTGCAGCCGACACTCAGTGCACTTTCATTATTATTATTGACTTTATTTTATTTTTTAAAGATTTTATTTATTTATTTGAGAGAGAGAGAGCACTCATGAGCAGCGGCAGAGGGAGAGGGAGAAGCAGACTCCCCGCTGAGTAGAGAGCCTGATGTGGGACTTGGTCCCAGGATGCTGGGATCAGGACCTAAGGCAAAGGCAGATGCTTCACTGACTGAGCCACCCAGGTGCCCCAGATTTTGGAAACTTAGTGGGAAAAAAAAAAAAAGAATGTGAGCTATCTCATTAATTATTGCTTTATACTGATTAGAAGTTGAGATAGTGTTTTGGATACTGGGGGTTAAATAAAGGGAATGTTATTAAAACTCACTGCACCTGTTAAAAAAAAAATCTTTCTTGCGGCGCCTGGCTGGCTCAGTCGGTGGAGCAGGTGACTCCTGATTTCGGGGGTGTGAGTTCAAGCCCCATGCTGGGTGGAGAGATTACTTAAAAATAAGTAATTTAATTAAAAAAAATTTTTTTCTGTAATATGTCTACTAGAAAACAAAAAATTACATATGTGGGTTGCATTAGATTTTTAGTGGGGAGTGTTGTTCTAGAATCTTCTTCAGAGAGTTGCTGGGACCCCAGTAACTCTAGAACACTCACTCAGACACTCCCTAAGCCCCTATGCTATTTTCTAGAACAGTGATTCTCAATGGAGTTATACCACCTTTCTAAGGAGCTTCTAGAAATTCACTTGACAGGGCGCCTGGGTGGCTCAGTTGGTTAAGCGACTGCCTTTGGCTCAGGTCATGATCCTGGAGTCCCGGGATCGAGTCCCACATCGGGCTCCCTGCTCAGCAGGGAGTCTGCTTCTCCCTCTGACCTTCCCCCCCTCTCATGTACTCTCTCTCTCTCAAGTAAATTAAAAAAAAATTAAATTAAATTAAAAAAAAGAAATTCACTTGACATAGCGATTGCAGTAGGGAGGCTAAATTGTGGGGGACAGGCCCCTCTAGCAAAATTTGCTCACATTCCACTCCACTTTCCAATGTCCCATCAGGCATCTGTGAAAGTGGAAAATCTATTTAAAATGATCTAAACCGAAAACCCAATTCCATTTTACAAAGGCATTTTCTGCACATCTTACATCTATACTGAATTTTACAGAAATTCAACTATCCTATGTATGGAAGGAAGACTGGTTCAGTGACGTAGGGATTCTCCCTAAGGGTGCCAGTGTCTGACTAGCCAATTCTGCTTCCCAGCATAATTATAATTGTGTCTTGGCATTTTCATTTGAAACACAGATACTGCTATTATGAAGGGCATTCCTTTTTATCATCCCTTACAATACAGTTTGGGTATTACAGTGATTTTTTAAAAATTATGGGTAGGTAAGTAGTTTAACCTATGCATTTCATTTCAGGATGAATTTAAGGAGACAAAAGTATTTGCCTTGACAGGGTCAAGAGCCGCTGGTCCAGACCTTGTTTTGTTCTGGGCTCTAGACCCTAAACCTCATCTGCTCCTGTCACTCAGCAGCCCCTTCCCCAGAGTTCAGAAGAGGTGGGGGGGGGCTACAGATAAGCCCCCAGGTCCTGAGCTAGTTGTTTAAGAAGCAAGACCGGGGGGCCCTGTATGTCCCCCTAGGCAGGGGCAGTGATCGGATGTCAGTCCGTCCCTCCTCGTGCAAGAAGCTCCCTGCAGTCCCCACATTTCCAGGATTCGTGTCTAGGCCTCTGGAAGAGTGGGACAATGTGAAGTGGGCTGCTGGATGGCCAAGAGGGAGGGGAATGGGCAACTGAGGGCATAGGTGCCCAAAGAAAGAAAAAACTGGGTCGCTCAGTTTTCTAGGTTCTCAGGCACAGGGGGTTGGGACTTGGACCCCTGGGTCTGAGGGAGGAGGGGGCTCGGGGCCTGGACTCCTGGGTCTGAGGGAGGAGGGACTGGGGCCTGGACTCCTGGGTCTGAGGGAGGAGGGGCTGGGGGCCCGGACTCCTGG